GAAGTAATAACACAGGAGGCTTAGACTCCAGTGTATTCTCTCAGACACTTTCCCGTAAAAAGAAGAGCCCTTTGAGAATGGGGAAGAAGGTCTATGAGTTCTACAATGCTCCAATCACCAAGTTCTGGGCTCATGCAGTAAGTCCGCATGTTTTTCCGCTGATGATCATTTGCTGATTTTGTTAGAAATGAAATTTGCATAATGGGTATCTTCTTCTTCGTCTGCATTCATCCAAAGATGTAATTTCGTTGTGCCCATACAGCATGGCTACAATTATTTGAGCTTTTTGGCTGACACATCCAAATTCTGCAGGCATTTGTTGACCGGGTTAGACTTCCCGGGCACACTGGATGTGAATTATGTTGGTTTCATACTGAGGTAATCACACTGTAAGACGGAGCTAGGGAACTTTTTTTCTACCAATACTATTGCCATTTGTATGTTTGTAACATCATTTCTGCACCATACATAGTTATTGATTTAAGAATTATTTAAAGGTCCCATTGCAAGCTAGCGATGCATGGGGCATGTGAGTCTAAACTCATATTTTTATAGACTAATCAGCTCTCAATGTATGATGTGGTCAACATCACACCAGCCGCCTTTACTTCCCAGGACTTTACCTGGTACCCATCTAAGGCTAGATCCACATGGGAATCAAGGTCATATTTGGGAAAACTCTGGCTCCATACAGATTTGAACCTATGACATTTGAATCTGCAGGTGAGTATCTAGCTGCTACACCGTGGCAGCTCGCAATTAAAGAATTAGCCTACTGTTTCTGGTGAAACGGTTAATTGTGGTTATTTTTGCAGTACCAGACCAAATGATTTTAATTGGCCTTTTATAGCCCACGTGCCAATTGTTTTCAACCTCTGTCGGCTCTATGACATAAAGAAACAACTGGAGGTCAAGTACTGGGAACATAAGGAATGTTGAGACCACAGACAGCATTTATAAAGTCTCTTCTTCTGCTTGCGTTCACCGGCTGAAAGTTCTGGTTGTTTGTCCACCTCTGGACTTCAGACTTGCTCCAGAACCTGACTGCTGCATGCACATACATTTTATGGATATTATTTTATGGAGACTGTTGTTTCCCTACTTCTCATGCAGAGGCATTCCAACTTCGAAAGAACCTCCCACATTAGTCGACTTACGACATGCTTGTTGGAGAGGCAGTTGGTCTATTTTTTTCTCTCCACAATGGGGCCCCGGAACCCACAAAGAGATTAAAACATGTATGTGCACAGATCTACCAGTGCAGACATTCATGAAATTTAAGAAGCTTTTGTTATGAAATGTAGAGTTAGTTTTGAAGTGAGATAATACAAATCTATTCTGTATGTCCTGTTCTTTAGAATAAAAAATAATTGAACAAAGATAACATTTTTAAGCATTCCCTCATACTTTTATTATCAACATTAATTTCAAATGTATGTTTGCAGTTCAGTTTTCATTTCATAGGAATGTTGTATTATTTGTGTAAATCTTTTATTTCTTAGATCTACTTTATCTATTTTGCAGCAGTGAAACGCATCGTGCGTTATTTGTAACTACTTTAACTGTCCTCTGGTACTCAGAGTTATTGAAGCTACTTCTTTTATTATCTCTGCATCCTGATAAGGTTTCCCCTGAAATCAGCCATAGTTTGGTGTATTTGTTTGTTCATTTTATCTCTATGTTTCTTAATCCTCGCCACATTTGTCTAATTTTGTGTATTGCCACTTAATTGTAGATTGATTAGCTATTTGAACCTCATTGCCCTATTTTATGTTGACATGGTGCTAGGATAGAGTTTTACTGTTCTTCCATTTGTCCTTCTTCCCCCTTTGGGCTACAGCCTGAAGGTTTTAACACCCTGAGATTATAAAATCTCACTCTTGATGGTAAACTAACAGGCCACATCCCAGGTACCCAGTTACACTTCTAAAGAAGATATAATTGGGGCACCGTAATAGTTACACCAGCCTGGTCTGACCTACAGCCCTGTGTGGGTAAGGACTACCATAAGCATATTTCTAGATTTTGATTTCCTTCACATTAGTTTGTCTGTGTGTGCCTGTGCATGAGAGAGAGAGAGGGGGGAGGGGGGAGAAACTATTTTGAACATCATTTTATTCATTACTTCTCTCTGTTGCCAGATTGGCTACATGGTCTTCCTGGTATTGTTTGGTTATGTGGTCCTGGACCGCTTGAAAGATACTCCAACATTAGCTGAGATGTACATCATGGCTTTCATAATAACCATGGGCTTGGAGAAGATTAGGCAGGTCAGTAATATTTTGTTTGAACACTTCCTTCCCTTGCTGATCTCAGTTTCAGCAAAAGAGTTAAACGGGAGTAGACCACGACAAGTAGGACGGTGGATAGATAATATTCATACAGAAATAGAAATACTTTGATTCATTTATTGGGAAAAAAAATAAGGTGGTCGGAGAGATGCACTGTGGCAGGTAATGTGTGCAGCAATGAACCTCAAGGGTTTGGAATGCTGAAGAAACTCATGTGGCTTGGTTGATACAGCTAACACTGACGATAAAATGAATTAACTGTTTTGAGTCCCTCTGTTATCTGCCATTACAATCTCTTAGCCCTCATGATGCCAGTAATATAAATAGATTATGAATATTGTTGTTGCTTGTCCCCCTGCATTTTCCCGCTGTTTTCATATTTAGTGGATCCAGAGATTCGTTAAAAGATGTCCTCATAATTTTGTAATAAGGCTGTCTCTTTTAGTGATACCATTTAAAATCATATTGTTTGTGACTGTGCATTACAATACCAGGGACAATGTTTTTCCCTCTTTAGTGTCAGTACAGTGCCGACATGTAACTTATTTGATCTCTGGATTTTCTTTTTCTACTAAAAAACATTACTTAACGTATGGGTTAAATTTCTAAATTCCTTTCTTTCATATACAGTAGCATCTGTTTGGCATTCACCCCCCCCCCCCCCATCCCCAGTAATTTGATTCTCTCTGATGCTGTCTCTGCTTCCTTCTTACTCTCTCACACACTCTCTCTCTCTCACACACACACACACACACACACTCTTTCTGCCTGTCTCTCTGTTTGTCTCGTTCATTATGTTTGTCTTTCTAACTCTGTTTCTCTCTCTCTCTCTCTCTCTGTTTTTGTCTCACTCTCTCTGCCTGCCTCTCTATGCATATCTGTCTCTCTTTCTTTCTCTCTCTCTCTCTTCTCTCATTTTGTCTCTGTTTATAACCTCTCTGTTTATTTGCTCCCCCTCACCACATCTTCTCTGTACCATTCCCCTGTTTGTTTTGATAGCGTGTAAACATTATGGCTTTTTTTTTTTTACTCTTTAGTCAGCAGTAAATATTTGAGCTAGGTCACCTGTTTGTTCTGATAGTGGAAGAAAGAGATCAAAATGTCTATTGTCATATCAGATTTATTAGAAAACATTCTTTGCTTATAAAATGACGTTGATAAAGGAAAACAAATTAGTTAAGTGATTGGTTTAACAAGAACACAATTCTTTATTCATTTATCATAGCCGGCATAATTTGTTATGTATATCCATTAAGGTATGTAAGAATACAATTGAAACAGAAACTGGCTTCACTAAAATAATCAGTTCTTATTGACAATAAAAGGACCGGTGGTGTGAATATGATGCTATACTCATATTTATATAGACTAATATGCACTGGGTCACTGATGGGGTCAACATCACCATGGCCACCTTTACTTCCCAGGACATTACCTAGTACCCATGTTAGGTCAGACTGACATAGGAGCCAAGGTCAGTTGGAGAGGGGATTCGATTCGATCTGGATTAAAATCTTATGACCCTCAGCTGGCAGGTGCAACTCTGATATGTGAAAGACAAAAGTAAAGAAATAGCCAGCATCACATCAGCCACCTTTACTTCCAAGGAGATTTCCTGGTACTAGTTATAAGCGTGACCAGCCTAAAAGCCCCAGGTCACTTTACAAAATTCACCCCAATGTGGATTTGAACATGCATGTTATATAAATCACATAAGATAACTGGTAGTCATTGTAGGGATATTATGCAACACGTAGCATACATATAGCATTCAGGAACCTTTAGGTTAGACATATAGCATTCAGGAACCTTTAGGTTAGTCATATAGCATTCAGGAACCTTTAGGTTAGTCATATCTGTAGTTTTGGTTGACTTCTTGTGGCACGTGTGCGAGTATAAACATTAACTTATTATCGCTCAGTGTATCCATATTGTGCAAACATATAAATTAACTTCGAGATATAATTTTTCCAGTAAATTTTCTTTATCTTCTTCACATTCAACAGCTGTAAACTCTGGTAAAAAGTTCTGGTTGTTCGTCCACTTCTGACTTCAGTCTCATTTCAGAACTTGATTTTTTTGCTTGTACATACGTTTTACAGATCTGGCTTATTTGTATGCAGATTTGTGGCTTCTTGCCTCTTAGGCAGATGTATTCCAACTTAAGAGGAAACATCTCTAGTTAGTTGACTTACGACATGCTTGTTAGGTCAACCGTGGCCTAGAACCTTCAAGTTATCTGGTTGTCATACAGGTTTTTCATGCAATAAACAACACACTTGAGCGTTCTAGAACCTTCAGGTTATGTGGTTGTCATGTCTATAGCTATGCTGGTTGACTTCTTGTTTCATGTATCTGGGTATAAGGCTTTTGTGATTATCACACAGTTGCTTCATTTTTTACAAACATTTAAATTAACTTCATGGTATAATTTTCCAGTAAACAAAGTGCACCACTGATATGTTGTGTGTTTTTTTTATATAAAGAAACCATGCAGCCAGCATCAACCACCTTTACGTCCCATGACATTTTCTCATACATATTTGAACCTGGGTGTCCCTGGGAGCCCTAAGTGAATTACAGAAATTAACCCCATTATGGATCCAAGCGTATAGGTTGTGTACATCACACAAGATAGGAAACTGGTAGTTATCATATATATATATATATATCATGCAATAAACAACCCACTGTAGCATTCTGGAACCTTCAGGTTATGTGATAGTCAGGTTTGTAGCCATGCTGGTTGACTTCTTGTGGATGAAAAACTGAATGGAGCTCCAACAGTGGCACAAAGCTATCAGTGTTGCAGTTGTGGTTGTTAATGTTGTTGATACTGCTGTTGCTGATGCCAAAATGGTGCCCGTTGTGTTTTAGAGTGCGGCGTTGAAAGCAGTGAATTGGTGCCATGGCACAACGAATCATTCTGGACCCCAGTTTTCTGACTTCTCGTCTGAAGCTTCTTATGAGCGCACAGTAGAGGAAGAAGTTGATGGAGTGGTTTATGTAGAGCAACACAAAGAACAGCACCTGGGGAACACCAATACAAATATTAGTGATGTACACTTGAAGTGTCAGTTTCTGTGGCTTAAGCGATGTTAACTCGCTGTGTAATTCCAAAATACCCAGTTGAATTCCAGCTGCAGATGATTTGACAGCAGACCACTTTGTGTCGATTACAATAGGGGTATGGAGCACTGCCCATAGCAGTGACAAGGTACTAATGTAAATTGCCTAGTGAAACCACAAAACAGTAAAAAATTACTGGAGTTGGTTTTGCAACACCCTATAATAGATATGCAAATATCTTTAACACTGAGAGCATAAGTAATAAGTAACGGTTAAGTTGAAATATCTGCCATGTTGGTCCAACACAACCAATGTCACTCCTGCATTTATTACTTTCAGTTCCCCATATGAGTTCCGGGACCCGATTTGTGGGGAGGTGAAAGTGGCCAGCTGCCTGTTAACAAGCATGCTGTAACAGGGTTTGGGGAAATTGGATATGTTGATCCGAAAAAGTGCAATTATCATAGGGTAGCTGTACCCGCAGTGCAGTGTTAGAAGCTGTCCATCTTTGAAATCATTTAAATATTACAGTGAAGAATCATCATCATCAATTTCCATTTCTGCCTCTAAGCTTTGTGGGGAGAACAGTTTGCGATCCACTGCTTGATGGGCAGCTATTGACATTCCATGTCGATGTAGAAGCTCTATAATGTCATCAATCCATCTTCTCCTAGAGTGGCCTTCTGCTCTCACTTAAGATCTTTTTATGTGTAGCGCCTGTGTTAGTTGTTGTTCTGGCTGCATTCTTAACAAAATGACCAAAATATTTGATCTTTTGTTTCTGACTTAATTTGCTGCATGGTGTTGTTCCTACAGTTTGTCTGATAATATCATTTCTGACTTTGTCTCAGATGGTTGAGTTGGCGGATTTTCTCAAGCATCTCATTTGACATTTGGTAATTTTACGTAGGTTAGCCTTTGATAATGTCCAAGTCTGGCACTGGTAGCACAGTGTTGGTATGAATATACTGTTTATAATCTGTTTCTTGGCGCTCATACTTATGTTTAGATGTCTTAATAACGGTGTCAGTTGGTATATAAGTTCACTGGCTTGTTGGCACCTTGTTTCTATTTCCCTATCTATTCTTCTGTCCTCTGAGAATATACATCCGAGATATTTAAATTCGTTAACTTGCTGCAGACATGTACCATTTAACCCATTATTTAGCGGACTAGGAATTCAGCTGACCTGCATTACTTCAGGTCAAGTAGTATTTATTTTCATGTTATATCTTCTGCATGTTGAGCTTAGCCTGTTTAAACGGTCTCGCTGTCTACTCCCCTTATTGTAGAAAAGTCACTGATCGTCTGCAATAGTAGCTCAATTATTGTGTCTGGATCTAATTGTTCCCCTGGAAAGCGAAATTCCTAATTTTCTGGATTTTCTGGGTCGACTGTTTTAAAACTGGTTTATGTGGATATTCTATCTATGTCTGTAGTAAATAAGGGAGGAAATAGCACACATATCCCTGCCTCACCCCTGTATTGACTGTAAAAATATCAGACATGCCTTCTTGTGTTCTCATTACCTTTAAAAAGTGTGGTACATCGCCACGATGTTATCTAGCAACACTCCTTGAATCCCATAATCCTCAAGAATAGCCAACATTTTGCTTCTATCTACTCTATCAAAAACAATAAAGAAGGAAGCACTAAAATCAGCAATGCCTTATATTAGGATTTTTAGTTCTCTCGAATATCTAGTCCCCGTTGGCTTGGCAAGCGTTCATGTTCCTGAATTTCCATTACTATCATGAATAAGTCATTACATGATCATATAGCAAATGAAGTTTTAGGGCTTTGCTTATTACAGTGTCTAATATGGAGTTTGGCCTTTTCAGGGAAAAGTTAAGAGTAAAAGTAAAGGGCCGTTCACGCGTTTGGCACATCAGGTATAAAGGGCGATGCCTACTTTTGTATAGACCATCAGCACTGGGTTGCTGATGTCCAGGACATTACATAGTATCCGTTTTAGTCTCAGTCGACCTGGCTGCCCAGATTAGTTTTGAAACACATCAGATTGTGGATTTGAACCCTAGACCGTCAGGCGGGAAAGCGAGCCTCTAGCTGCTACGTTACCAGAACATTCAGAAAACGTGTACCAACCCTGTAGTCTAAAAAAGTTGTCATTATCTTTTGGACCACTCAAGTGGTGGAAAACATTCGTCCAATTCGCTTGTCGCATGTGATGAATGCTTGTATGCGGTTACAGAAGTGGACTCATTGATTAAGTAAAGGCCCCTTTTCCACGCCTTCATGTGTATTTGGCATATAGGGCTAGACCTATATAAGGCTGGGTCGACCTGAGAGCCTGGGTTATTTTGGACTAAGGTCTGGCTCCATTAGGATCTAAACTACCTTCGATCAGCAGGCGACTGTCTAGCCACTACACCATGTTGGCTCCAACATAAAGTAAAAGTAACTAAATGACACATGTTTACGGCATTACCGCATCCTGCACAAGATGCTAGGCTCATGTTTATAGAACGCTAGTTTTTATGGATGACGCAGTCAGCATTACGCTTTTACTTCCCTTGACAACTTAATTGACATTTGGCTGGGTTGAAATGGGAGCCGAGGCCACTTATAAAGAATGTTGTTTTATCGGCCTCGATGTATATTCAAACTCAAGTCTTTTGGACCGAAAGACGAACGTCTAGCCGTTATGCTACCGCGGCTCCGAGTTGACAGATTCACCAAGACAGTTGTCATCACTTATGACAGTAGCAGATGTCTGGAAAGGGCAAAAGGGGGGGGGGGGGGGGGAGAACATCCATACACACTGCTGTGAGGAACATTGCAACTCTAGGTTCCCATTTGTTGAATGAGAAACTTGTGTATCCCGTGTACTGTGTTCCCCAGTCAATGGTCGAGAAAGATCACGCGGAATGTACCGGCAGGCTGTGGTAGTTAAGGCTCAATTGCCTCAGATCTCCCCCCTCCCCTCCCCTCCCCCCCCCCTCCATATTTATTTAAATTTAAGCCTCCGTCAAGAAAATCTGTTTAGGACTAAACGCCCCTGCATAGACGTCCTTTCTTTAAGTATCCAAATCTAATTATTGTTTTATTTGTTTTTCGTCATCTTTTGTTCCTTTCTATGATTATTATTATCGTGATTATCAAACACTTAATTAAGCAAGGCTTAGATCTGTTGTGCGTCCCAGTAGCTAGAACACTTTCCTGGCGGCTTGGATGTCATTTGTTCAATCGTCTTCAAAGCGGATATTTATTATTGGCGTGAGTTTCTACAGGGACTTAACTAACGTAGTTGGCTAAACCTGACTTTGCATTGACCGGGTGACGAACTCCTTGTAGTCCGGGTTCACGCCCGGGGGTAGGCAGAAAAGCCACATTTCTCCCAGATTTACGGTATTTATCATGGAATCAAGGCCGAAGGGTTGCGATATCCGTAGTACCGAGCCAAAGGGTTAGTAACTCGTGGTTTCTGAATATTAAACAAGTTTGTACCAAGACTGTTCTGGAAAATCAAAGCGGCCTGCATTATTGTATTGGCCGCAACCTCTACCGATATCGACTGGCCAAACATTAGGACTAAGAACAGGGCTTTTTTTCCCCGGTGATAGGTAACAGTAGGCAGTGCCAGTACCTTTTCTTCCAGGCTTTGTTTCATCGCTACTGTTGTTTACGTTCACCGGCTGTAAGCCCCGGCGGAAAGACCTGGATGTTTGTCCATTTCTGGACTTTGGCTTTGTTCCAGGACCTGAGTTTTTCTTGGGCATCCGTTTTACAGATCTTGCTTATTTATATGCAGACTGTTGGTTCCTTGCCTCTAAGGCAGATGCACTCCGACTTAAATTAATCGACTCTTAGGACACGCTTGTTGTAGAGGCAGTGGGTCTGTTTTTTTTTTTTTCCCACAATGGGACCCTGAAAGCCACACGAGAAGGAATCATCGTTATTATAATAGACACTGTGTGGTGAGTAGTGACGTAGTAGAAAGTCCTGACTAGTACCATACACCCAGTATATAAAAGGTTCTCTTCACTTACTTTTTAACCGAATGTACTGCAAATGTCTTATCAGCTCATCGTGTTGTAAGTTGTTGGATCTCGTAGCAGATTTCACTACTTTTTTTACGGTGGCTCATAAATTGCTGCAAATAAGATTCCTCTTTTTCTTCTTAGTCTCTCTCCTCCTCCTCCTCCTCATCCTTCTTCTTCTTCTTTCTTCTTCTTCTTCTTCTTCTTCTTCTTCTTCTTCTTCTTCTTCTTCTTCTTCTTCTTCTTCTTCTTCTTCTCCTTCTCCTCCTTCTTCTTCTTCCTCTTCTTCTTCTCCTTTTTCTTCCTCCTCCTCCTCCTCTTCCTTCTTCTTCTTCCTCCTCCTCCTTTATTCGTCCTTTGAAGGACAGATGGCACGTTGTGATGTGATGTACAGCTAGACCAACAGCTGCACCCTTAGACACAGGGCTTTGAATTTCAGAAATCTCAGTCAGTCACCCTGTACGACATGCTTGTTAAGAGGCAGTTGGTATACTAAAATCATGTCAGAGTAGCTTCAGAGTTCAGTTTTTTAAGAAAAGCTCAAGTACAAGGTTCTGACATTTTACATGCCATTTCTGGAGATTTTTAAAAAAAAGGTATGCTGGCGATCCTGATTTCTTTAGGATTTCTGTGAGCCACGTCATTTTTCTTTATTTTTTTTTTTTTTGGATGGGGTAGCCGGCCCAGCCCTACCCTAGTTGCTTCTTAAAACATCCCTGGTAGGCTTCAGTTTTGACTCTGCTTTTTTTGGCCCCAATAACACACTGTCAACCTGTGTCAGCCTGTCGACCTATAATACAATTGTTTTGGTCACCCAAACGGTTACAAAGTGACCTACAGTCCAGCGTGGATGGATTCTGGTGGCATATATTAAGAACGATTTGCAATCTGAATTTATTAACCTCAAGTAAAGGCAGTTATAAAAATGAACTTTAAAGAAAAATAGCCATTGCTGTACTTACATTTAGAAATGTATGAGTGCCTGCATCGTAAGGTGTGTGTGGTACGTGCTCGATCATCTTCAGCAGGGTATGCGGTGTAGTCAGCAAGAACCAGGACACAGAGAGTGCCATCAGTAGTACAGTGACGTTTTTGTAACGGGCTCTGACTTGCCTGTCGTCCCGCCCGTTGGGCTGAGACGATTCTGAGTGTGTGAGAAGAGACCTTCTGCTGGTATACAGGATTCTTGCTAACAGGCTGTTGAGGACGATCAGCAGTATGGCAGGCAGTCCAGAGTATAACACCATCAGTACAATAGGGAAGACTTCGCTAACAATCCGGTCATGTTTCTGGCTTGGGGCACATATTTTTCCCCATGGATCCTGTTTGGGAGAAAGTAACGACATTGCGCCTGCTGGTTATTTTTTTTATTGTTATTGTTATTTTTTAATTTTAAATTTAATTTACAATTAGTTTTGTGTGTGGTCCTTTACAAGATGTTGCACAACCAACCCCAGCATTGGGGGTATTTGTGATGTCCCTATGCAATTATACTTTCAGTTGTTTCCTACTTCTCTTGAAGTGTCAGCTGTCGGTACAACTGTTGAGGTCAACACAAGCAGGTCTTCTGCCAGTTTGTCCGCAGCTGGGATCGAATGGCGAAGCGTGTTCGCAAAGCCTAAGCTACAAACGATGATGTCAGTTTATAAACATACATAAAAGTAAAGTAAATTACCCTTCAACGTTATTGAAACTTCAAGAGGAAATAAGTGCTCTAAACGTCGGCCGTCTTGGGACAGAGTCTCTCTGTCAGCTTGAACAACATGGATTAAAGCCGAAAGGAAGCCCATGATGGGAAAACAAGTCTGCTGGATGTCAAAACCAAATTAAGAATTGGCTTCTGGAATGTAAGAACCATGTTTGAAACGACCAAAACCGCCCAAGTAATTAAAGAAATGCAGAAGTATAAATTGCATAACAAGGGCGCCCAAAAACAACATGGGGACGAACGATGGAAAGTGACCCGAGTGCGGCATCTTTGACATGGAAAACTGCACTGAAGATTGCACAGCACAGGAAAGCATGGAAAGTCCTCTCTGAAGCCTTATGTGCCACTAGGCATAACAAGAACTGATGATGATGATGATAAATTACCCTTCTCCCGTCAGTGGCGCGACAGACTTATGGTGTCAGGTGCACATTTTTATTTACCCAACGGTGCTGTGGTCAACACCACACTGGCCGTTTTTACCTCCGATGACATTGCTTGTTACTCAGTGTAGGCTGAGTCGACATGAGCGCCAAATGTTATTTCTAAAATACCCGTACCGATGATGATTCGAATTACAGTCCGGATATGAACCATAATGTTCAGACTCTTCCGTAGCCAAGCCACCAGTGTACACACAGCTATTCCCCTTCCATGTTGAATGGCATCGCACACTTTGGACAATGCCCCTTCATGGCTACGCAGAACATCTGCATTCTGACTGTTGATGTCGATTCATTAGTCAAAAGCCCTGGGTCGACCAACCTGTGTCCGGTTTTTATCCAATTTTTTTTTTTTTTTTGAGGATGGGGTGTGGAAGGGAGGGGGGGGGAGCTTTCTGATGTAGAGGCAGTTTCGAATCGTGCTGTCAAATCTGTCGGTGCTCACAAAACCTATGTCTTGGTGAACGAAGGTAACGGTAACTGCGAATAGTTGATCTCCGCTAATGAAAGAACGAATAAACGTTATTTTCAAGGTGTCACAAAATAGGCACGCAGGCCCGTCTTACATTCGGCCTTTCCAAACACTCACCATTCAGATCCCAGTTGTATTTTATCAGTAAAGCATGTTATGTTCAAGGAGAATTCAAAACAATGCTATGCCTCAACTTTTCTTACATAATCAGTGCATTACCGAATAGACAGGCATGGGTGCAGTTTTGATACTCAGTCTAGCACAACGTCATTGCTATGCTCTCTCTCTCTCTCTCTCTCTCTCTCTCTCTCTCTCTCTCTCTCTCTCTCTCTCTCTCTTTCTGCCCTTTTATCCGCCAATGGAGCATAGGCCCTCAACCAACTCACGCCAAGTCGTTCTATCCTTCGCTATTACAAGCTCTCCCCCATGTCCTCCCTGTCTTTATAACTTTATTCTCCAGCTCTCTTTTCCATGGTTTTTTGGCCTTTTTTTTTAAATTCCTATACCCATGCGGATTCCAATGCAAAGACATTCTAGTTATGCTGTTCTCCTGTTTTCTCGATGTGTGTCCTATCCAACGCCAGCGTATTTTCCTCATCTCTTGGTCAACTGGAGCCTGATAGTTCTCTCCTAAAGCTCTACATTAGCTATTCTATCATTTCATTTAATTCCCTCTATTCTGCGCAGGGGGAGTCGCCGTGGCAGAGCGGCTAGACGCGCGCCGCAGATCGGAAGGTCGTGGGTTCGCTCCCTGGCAGTGCTGAACTTTTCTTCAAAAATGACCTTGGCTCCCAGGTCGACCCAGCCTTGAGTGGGTACCGGGTGCAGTCCCGGGAAGTAAAGGCGGCCGTGACTCTAGTTCTGTGACATTATAAAACAACATGTAACGCGTATTTATAAGTGCTGCAGGATGCGTATTAAAAAGTATGGGTCCGTGGCAGACATTCGAAAATAAGAAAAGTTCGCAATTCTGAGCTGACCGTGATCCACTGAACTAGACAAGAGTAACTCACGGCTAGCTTGGACTTCGAAAGAGGGAGACACCGTCATACTACTACCTGAGCTTATAAATGTCCAGTCTAACCAAGAATGAACATTGTCCCTCCTTTTCTGTTTTGACAAACGCTAATAGATGCAAAGATGTCGTTATTGACAACTGTGATTCCGAGGATGCAGTTGAATGTAACACCTAATTTGTTGCTTAGCATCAAATGTATGACCTTCTCGGCACACACTTGGCAGAACTGTTAATGAAGTCGTCATCATCGCAGTCATAATTGTGGGTACTCTATAAATTTGTTGAAGCATAGGCTCTGTCAAATAACGTTAGCTTTATAGACGAGAGGATCGACTTTGTTGCACCGGCTTATGTGGCTAGCTGTCTGCTGAGAGCGTCGCACAAAGCAAGAACTCCGTAGCTCTATAGATTATCCTTATAGGTCTCCATAAAAAGTGCAATCGTCAGCTGAAAGATGCATCCACGAAACAGCTTTACCATTCTGCCGCTGAGTCGCCTATTGTGCTGTTAGATGTCACTTCCGTGCGTGCGTTTCATGATGTTAGTTCTGATAACTTCGCACCTTTAATTCTCAATTGTATTGACAACACTCGCATCTAATCTAAACAACAAAACTATAGTCCGTTCAACAATAGATAAACACACATGCAAGCCATTTTCTCGAAAACTGCCTGTTAGATCGCAATAATTTTGTGCATGCAGCCTTAGAATATCCATGACGTTCAGGAAATAATTTTGTTTTTCCACTAAAGAAGAATGAACAGTTTAAGAAAACAGACGTCCGTCTCTCTAGCTTAGTTGGCTAAACCGGATTGCGCGGAGACCCTGTGACGAACTCCTTGTGGTCCGGGTTCAATCCCGGGGGTAGGCAGAAAAAGCCACATTTCTCCCAGATTGACGGTATTTACAATGGAATCAAGGCCGAAAGATTGCGATATCCATAATACCGAGCCTAAGGGTTAAAAACTCATGGCTTCTGGATACTAAAACAAACAACAAACAAGAAAACAGACGGAGAATCCATACATTGAAAAAAAGAATTCAACTGAGAGTGAGCAGAATCTGAGAAGAGGTTCTGGAAGATATTCAACACTAATGGGGAAACATGGGCAGACTTCAGATTGCGTCTGGTACTGTTAGCATGTCGCCTCTTTGTTATTTACTGAAGAATGGAACCGAGTACATGTGGCCAATGTCCCGAGTGCAGTGATTTCACTTCTGGATTCATTCACGACAGGAGATTTGTAGTTTTTTAGTGTGAGGGTTTAGGGCCCTAGTAGCTAGTGCTAGTACAGTCGCCATGAACTGTTAAAGTTGACTATCCTTTACAGAGCGTTGCTAAACCAACCTCATTATTTTTCGTCTGGTGTGGATTTTCCAGGCAGATTTTATGTTCAGTAGTTTGCCATTGATTTATGAATGGTCAGCTGTGTCGAAACCAACGCAAGACATATCGTCTGCAACTGGGGTCTAACCAGGCACTCCGGAATTTCGATGTCATGAACTGTACAAGTTATACATTTATTTTGGAATCCTGCAGGGGCAGGGAGGGGGTCCGATCAGCTGACCCAGGATTGAAACCCAGATCTTCCAACCGAGAGCCTGGCGATCTATTCGTTTGACCAGACACTCCTTGCTTTCTATAGTAACACTGCAGTAGTAAGAGCATTGAGTGATAGGGGTGCATTCTGGGTTGACACTACACCAGACCAACATTCTAATCCCTAGTAAGAGCATTGAGTGATAGGGGTGCATTCTGGGTTGACACTACACCAGACCAACATTCTAATCCCTAGTAAGAGCATTGAGTGATAGGGGGTGGGGTTGCATTCTTGGTGAGTGAAGGGTGCACTACACCAGACCAACATTCTAATCCCTAGTAAGAGCATTGAGTGATAGGGGGTGCACTCTGGGTTGACACTACACCAGACCAACATTCTAATCCCTAGTAAGAGCATTGAGTGATAGGGGGTGCATTCTGGGTTGACACTACACCAGACCAACATTCTAATCCCTAGTAAGAAAAGGGATTTCTTTTTTAATATGCTGGGAGTGAAAGCCTACCCGAACTTAACTTAATTTTCGATCTTTTCTGGTTACTATCATTGTGCAGTCTCAAAGCTCCCTTACACAGGATCAGGAAGCTTAATGACAGGTATATAATGGCGGGTATAATATTGATCCTACAAAACCGACAAGCGCAAACACACACACTGCCCTTTACCAAGGGTTTGATTTAGCCGACATGTGTAGCAACAGCGTGTCACTCACTGAGCTGTCCCCTGGACAAAACGGGCGTGTAGCAGATACTGAGTCGTCGTCTTTGGCTTCGGCGTTGAGAACGCGCTTCGTAATTCCGTGGTGCCGGGTTAGATCCCAGCATACCCCCAAGTCATGTTTCGACAGCGGTACCAAGAGCTGACCGTTTAGGAAGCGGTCGCAAATTACTGTACTTAAAATTCCCAGTATGTTCACAAACAGCCGAAAAAGCTGGGGCAGGTTCTGCAACGTTCTAAAAAAAATTCTTTTTTAGCAGATAGTGCTGGTGGTATTTGGAGTGTTAGTAATAGATCTTCACTTATATTATGCCACGGCATATAATGTTTTGGAAGGGGGGTCATCTTCATACTAACAGGATATCCCGTGAAACTGTCGAAGAAAAGGGGGTATTCACATGTGAGAAGATTAAATAAGAATTATGTTATTGCCAGTTTACTGGGAAATGTTAAATAGAATCATTATGGAGAGATTAAGTAGTGCCCGCTGATAAACAACTAAAGAATGACATATGTAGGCTTCCCGCTAAACTTATCCTGCGTCGACCAGATATTAAGTGACTATTATAGTTACACACACGCTATCATATATATATATATATATATATATATATATATATATATATATATATATATACACATATACACACACACACACATACACACACCACGGAGCGTCAGATCTCAAACTGAATTGGTTACTCGAAGCTAACACACACACACACACACGTGCTCCGTGTCATTTCCTAGGTTTTAGGTTAAGCCGGCTTTTGAAGCAGTAGGTCAACCAATCACTCAGCGCCATACTTACCTCATGTAGTTCAACAGTAACCAGGACGTAGCTGTTGGCAGCAACCAGAATCAGACAGATACACGCCAGGCCGGCATAACCACACTTGGAGTTTTCCACTGGACAACAACGGTCAAACGGGCGGGAGCAGGTGTACCATCTCTGCCAGGCGATTACTAACATCATCCAGGCAGACAGAGTGAAGCTTAGCTGGTTGAGAAATAGTCCTATTTTGCATGACCAGGTACCAATATGCAGCAGTTCGAATCCCCAAACCACCAACACCCATGTTTTAAAGGCGCTGGTATATAAAAATACCGTGTCCACTACGGCAAGAACGGAGAAAAAAAAGTTCAGGTTGTCTGTATTGATGGTTCCCTGACGAAGCACTACGATCACTAGGCTGTTGGCAACTGTACCCAGCACCACCAGGCTTGGGAAGAATATTTTAATTAACAATATGGCAACCTTATACATGAAGTTCTTTTTGTTATTTTCTAAGTAGATCTTGAAATCATCATCATCATTATGGGTATTGTTTGCTGCAGTTGTCCAGTTATCATACGCCTCATGAATTGTTATATTTTCGTTATAAAAATTGTCTAGTTCACCGATACTGAAATCCATAGCTCACTGTTGAATAATTGTTCTTCTGTGTTATTTATATAAGATGTCTAACCTCATATATCGCATCAACAACTGTTTAGAATGTGGTACTATAATGGCTCTATTAAACTCCCTCCTGCGAATGTTTTCTTTCTGTCCGTGACTTTTATAATAACTCAGTGTTTTATGATAATAGTTTAACATACCAAGTCCAATGCTCATTATTACATTGTTCATTTATATCAAATTAAGCCATAAAACTAAGCCATAAACGGTGATTTTTACACAGATCCAGCTGCTGTAAATCTAGAATCTATAGCCGATCACTGCCTTCTTCAGAGTATATTTCTCCCGTGGAACACGAGCCGATATGTTTCACTAAGTGCGGCAGTCTGAGAAAGAGCAAAGAAAGCAATGAGGTTGACGCTTATCTGTTTGTGGACACCGAAGTACTCTGCGCCGTACCGTGTGTCCGTTTTTATTGGTCAATGTGTTGGCGGTGTCGAAACGAAACTGTTGCCCGGGATGGCGTTTAATAAACAGATTACTTGTACACGTGTATTATCATCATCATCAGATGCATTACCGACTGGCGTGGGCGATCATGCCTTTCCACAATCCGCGATCTCCTACAGCGTGTATCAGTTCGTGTGCTGACATACCTTCATGCCATGTAACAAGACTGTCAAGTATCTTGTCTCGTTGTCTTCCTCTACCTCTCTTTCCACAGATCTTTCGAGTGGTCACAGCATGTTCTATTTTCCCTCTTCTCATAACATAGCCACAAAATGACTTACACCTTCTGATGTATGTGATAGGTTGTCTTCGGGCTCCCGCCTCTTTCAAAACCTCTTTTTTGGCTGTCCAAGGTATTTTAAGCATTCTTCTGTTAAACCACATCTCTGAAACCTCAAGAAATTGTTTGGCCTGCCTACCGATAGTCCCGGACTCACAGTCATATGTTAAAACTGGATGTATGTAGTAAGCAAGAATTCTTTTTTCTTTCTTTCAGTGACAGTGATATATTGCACAAGATGTTCTTCATTTTATAAAATGAAATTTTTTGCCTGCGCTATTCTGTTTCTTATCTCATTAATGCATCTTCCATCTGATGTTATCCATGTACCCAGATATTATCATTACCTACTATCATTGGTAGTCGGCTCTGTGGCTAAGTCGATGCGAATGCTTCGTTATGCCGGGTTCCATTCCAGCGGCGGGCCATGCGCCTTGTGTTGGTTTCGACAGTGGTATCAAGAAAGCTGACCGTCCAGAAAGCAATGGCAAACTACTGGACGTAAATTTGTCTAGAAAAACCACACAACAGCCACGGGCTGTTGGGGTTGGTTCTGCAACGTCCTGTAAAGGATACGCAACTAACCTCTAACTATCATTGGTTTCTTTTCTAATGCAAATTGTTACTTCGGCGATGCTTACTTATTATTGTCCAGAATATATAGTATGGGAACCTTGGTGGTACAGTGGCCAACACATTTGCCTGTCAACATAGTAATTTGAAATCCCCATCAACTGAGCCTAAACTAAACCACCGCAACATATTTTGGCCAGTAAACTCGTCCGACCACATAATGACCATGTCATCAATATGGCACCCTTTTTTTTTATATACAGAGATATGGGTTAGCACCATTCACCCAATTACCCCCCCCCCCCCACCCCCAAATACTTGGAAACGTGTACTTTAAGATATGAGGGGGCAAAAACAAGGATATTTCATATTAGACTAGCTATTAAAGAAATGCAGTCTTCGCGCTTCAACTGAATTTTAGTAATTCAAAGTGCTAGTCTGTGTAGTGCAGGGACAGGGCAGTGTTACTGGGTGGTTTTGCATTTTTTTGACAGTATGTAATTTCCAAATAAATATTTTATCCCCCCTCCCCCACCTCCCACCTTTCCATTTTCTGCTTTCGTCCTTAAAATGGAGGAACATTAGTCTGGGTTACTGCGCCTCGCAGCCCAGTATGTCGGATTTTAGCAAACCCACTAATTTTCTTTAGGAGGATATTGTCTGTTCTTGTTCTCCCAAAATGGGGCCTTAGAACCCAGACAGAGAAGACTGTGGTTGACTTTAACTGAAGAAAAAGAAGCAGATCACATGGGTGTTAACATGCGGTTCGAGGGTTGGCGCTGTTTTGCACTTACAGGTTATATCTGTGACTTGTTTTTGTTTACTTTTCTACCCCCGGACGTGCAGCCGAAAGATTGGCACCCAGTGTATCACCGGGCCATATTTCGGAAATGAACCAAACAGGGGCAAATCAGTAGTATAAAAGATACATTGGGGGCACATCCCACGTGAAGCCTATAGTCCAATGTGGGTGGAGACGTCTTTGTTAATCAGTGTGTACTCTCGTTCCTTCCTTCGTTGAAAAAGAACAAAAACGAAAAGCTTGGTCCTTTTTTAACCGCCTGATGGCCTGTTTTCTCAAGGACGGGTTATTTGCTATCTGAGCTTGAATTTCCTTCTTTTGTGGCGATGATTTTCGCCTGAGTTTCCTTTTAGTTGTTGCATCATGTCAGCAGCGTGGGCTTGGCGGGCGGCTTGCAGGTTTTGGGAGTGGACATGGCAGTCCTGAAAAGGACAGCCATATGTACCTGGGTGGCCTGGAACGGGTAGGGTGGGAGTGAGGCTGGTAGCTAATTCAGTCATGCCTGGCTGGTCAATATGGTTGGCAGTGCTTCTTCGTGTCGGTGAGCTTGGCTTGTTCCACGGGAACTGTGTGTCATGGCGGCTTGGTAGTTTTTTATTGGCTGCTGGCTTCGTCGTGTTATGGTGGGTCGTCTGGTTGATCAGTACTTGCGGTTACGTCGGTTTGGCGTACCCTGGCTCCTTTGTTTCCATTTTGACTGGGCCAGCTGTTTTTTGGGCTGCTTCTATCAAGTCATGGAGTCCATTAATTTTTGTGTAGAATTCTTTCTTTACCTCGGCAGGCACAGAATCGTATTTCACCCGCTCCTCTTCTTCAAAAATGATAACGTAGCGGTGCCTTTTGTGTGTACTCTCTGGCAGTAGCTGACTTTTCATCTCTTGTATGGTGTGACGACATAAAATGAAATGGGATCTCTTGCATGAAGTGGGATACAGAGGTCGTGAACTACGCATAGTGATGCACCAGAAAGATCACGGCTGATACTGGTCAGAACCTATCTACGCTACTCCGCGGCCATCCTACACACATGTTTCCATTCCTGGGCCTGCCAGCGCAGTTTTGGGATCGATGTGTGTCGGAGTAAATATGCCAGAGGGACTAGGAACGAACAGTCTTCTTCTTCACTTCCTCTTTTACCGCTGTGAGTGTCGAGGGAGATATAAGGTTCTGTTTCTAGCTCTTCTGGCCGCTTCGACAATAGGCACATCGTGCTGTTGTAGAGTTTCTCTGATGTTATCCTTCCATCTTGTTCTTGGTCTACCTCGTGCTCTACGTCATTCTTCCCTTTCCATGTATGCTTTGTATGGTATGGTGTCACGAGGCATTCTCTCTAAGTGGGCAAACCATTTCACTTGTTGTCTTCGTATGTAATTTAGAATTGGTTCTGTGCCGAATTTTTCTCTTATGATCTCAGTCCTGATCTTATCTCTGTCACTCCTACAGCCCTTCTCAGACATCTCATTTCCATGGTTACTAATTTTCTTTTATGGTTTGTTGTGAGTGACCATGTCTGGCACTGGTAGCACATAGTTGGAATAAATATGCCTTGAATAAGATGTCTTTTTGTGCTGATTGGGATTGTCTTATGCTGTAAGAGAGGGGCTAGCTGTCCCAATACGTGGTTTGCTTTATTGCATCTAATGTTAATTTTTTTATCCAATTTCCCATCTTCGGTAAATGTAGTTCCCAGATATTTAAACGAACAGTCTGCAGTGCACAAATGTGCTAAATATATGAAGTGGATGTGCACGCAAAATTCAGGTCATGGGTGGACGAACTACTAGAACTAGGTCTTTTCGCTAGAAGGGCTCCAAGTCATGCCGGTGTGTTGGGAAATTAGCAGACAGATAGGCTGGCCGGCTCTGCACAACTTGGTCGTGAATTGATATATAACAAACTAGATATTGTGAGGACCCTTTGGAAACGGTGCGGAGGCGCAGATAAATCATTACGAGGAGAATGGCGCTGCAAGTAGTTACCAGGGGATCTGGCCGACGCTCACACTCAGGGGAAGGATGAGACGGAACGAACGAACGAACGAACAAACTTTATTTTCAAAGAGTTACAAATTGGGCACGCAGGCCCGTCTGACATTCGGCCTTTCTAAGCACTCATTTTTCAGAGTACCAATGCCTGTTATCAATAATGCATGCTATTGATATAATAAAAAATATGCATTATAGAATAATACATTCACAGCATCATGTGTACACAATCTTACACACTCACTCACACTTATATATACTCTTACATTCTCATACTTGCACATTCATATACAGACATACTTAATACATACATACACGCATCTACATACATACACAAACAGAAAAAAAAACACATACACATATTGACATACATGCACACACACATTCATTCCATACATACACACCTACACATACATGCATGCATACACACACATACGCCCACAACCACACATTTACACATACATACATACATACATACATACATACATACATACATACATACATACATACATACATACATACATACATACATACATACATACATACATACATACATACATACATACTTGCATACTTGCATACATACATACTTGCATACATACATACTTGCATACATACATACTTGCATACATACATACTTGCATACATACATGCATACATACATACATGCATACATACATACATGCATACATACATACATACATTCATACATACATACATACATACATACATACATACATACATACATACATACATACATACATACATACATACATACATACATACATACATACATACATACATACATACATACATACATACATACATACATACATACATACATACATACATACATACATACATA